ACACTAATCTCAAAGCATTGGCTCGAAGTGATCTGGTATTCAGTAGAGAAGGAAGGAATGGGAAAAGGCATGCCCACTTGCGGCTGTGCTAAGGAAATGAGAGACTGGGCGAGGAGGGGAGGGTATGGCTGAGAGGGCGCAAGAGCTGAGAGGGCTCCAGATTTCAGCCGTGTGCGCGGCCAGAGAAAACTGAAGCTATTGAAGCTGTCTTTGCAAGCTCTAGCGCCCTTGTTGGCCATTTCCATGCACGATTAGTGCCACATCTGTGAGTGTCTTATAGAGGTCTACCTCAAAGTTGGAAGGAATCGTTCATCCGATTCCTGCCTGGGTTATGCCTTTAACAAGAGCCCTTACGGATGGTAGACACAAAAAATTGATAAAGTAAACCCGGAAAATTCGAACACAACTTTCGGACGCCGGGTAACGTATTACGAGGCTCACGGTGCAGTGAAAGCACGGAGGCTCGGGGTCACTTGTGGCTAGCAGCTTCGGGGTGCAGTAGTAGTTTAGCGCCACACCGATCAGGTTGTAAAAGATTACGTCGTATACCGTGAAGTTCGCAAAGTGGACTCGGAAAATTGGGCGTTTCGTCATTTTTCCTTTTTGTTTACATTTAGGAGGTTTCTCACCTACAAAGACAAATCGTGGCTTCTGTAGCAAACAAGTTAAGGGAGACAGGAGGAGGAAGAAGTTTGGAGATTCTTCTCCCAGCTTCCGACTCTCCAGCTCTCAAACGTAGATGGAGACGAGTTTGGTCGGATATGATCGCATCCACTAAACAGCGGCGCCATTCATGTGGGTTAGTGTACTATATGGTGAGCCTCACAGTTGACAACGGAGTGAGTCAACGTCGAGTGTCGCATTTGTGGGATGCGCGAGCAGGGTCAACCGTGTGTTCGCACTATTCGAACGAGGGGTCGCATTTGTGGTTGATTTTGGGAGGGGGTCGCATTCAGGGGTGGTGGAGGGTAGTAGTATTTTGTTGAGTGGTGGAATTAGCTGTCTCATTGAACAATATGCACAGTAATCGTTGCACGGATATCCCCTCCCCCTCTCCCGTCTTTTTGGAAGAGAAGTGGGCGGAGCTGGACTGTGTCGACTGGTACCAAAATCGAATATTATGATGGCGAGGATGGCGGTAGGGGTAGGCTAGGCGGGGTTTGTATTGGGGGAGCCTCTGGTCCCATGATCAGAGTGACTGCAGACTCTCGATCTCCGCAAACCCTACGAAGGTTAAGAGAGATTCCGCGCCTCGAATTTCTGGGAACTTGCTCCAACGCGAAGCGTCACAAGCCTTGACCCTTTCGCCGGGCCGTTGCAGATAACGAGAAGTTGTGGCACATGGAAATTTATTTAAATTGGCAGCGAATATTCAGAAGGGTCGGGAAATGAAATTGTGAACATGGAGGGATTTAGTGGGAAATTGAGAAAATTGCCAGGGAATGACAGTTGCACCAATTCCAGTTAAATAATAAGGCTTGAGCTGGTTTGTCCCAAATTTCGTTATTTGCTAGCAGCACTTTTATCTTTCAAAATAGCTCTATATTGCTTACTTCAGAATATTTCCATACTGCTTATGGAAAGTTTACATAGTTCAGTTGTGAGAGATCTTCCTTAAAGGCAAAGGTCGGGCTCGATATGGGGTATTATGGCGTTTGAAACTGAGTTTAGAGATGCGAAACTAACGACAGTGGAGAAAAACGAAAAAAACCGTCGACAAGGCCGAAAACAAAACCCCTTTCCCACTAGCAGTGAAGGAGGCTGGCTTGGGAAAGAGGCACGTCCAAACGAGTTTTCTGCCGACCGGCCATTGCTGGCTCTGTGCCGTCGGTTGATACGGCAATCAACCCAGCTGATTTCACACTGTAACCAGCCACACACCACTTCCGGAAGTGGGCGGGCATAGCGCCTGCCAGGCGGCTATAGCGAACAATGCATCACCTGGGGCTTTATTGCCGCGCTTTGGGACTCGGAGCAGGGTCAACCCTACGTTGTGACGAGTCACAACGGGGGGGTCGTACTGAATTGAGCTTGGAGGGGGGGGGTCGTAATTTTTTGGTGGCCGGCACTGAAAATTCTTGGTGATGTCCTACTGAGTATGGATAGTGGTACGAAGGAGAAGAGCAAACGCAGCAAAGAAAGTGTTTGAAAAAAGTACTCGCATTGTGACAGCCACGAGACCACATATGAAACTAATGCCTTTAGAGACCAGCATGATAGCCGGCACGATACGTTTGCGCAAGATTACTGATACTAGAGCATCTGTAAACCACGCTTCCCTCTGAATGAGCTTTCAAATGAATCAGCGAATTAGAAGGGCGCCCGAGGCGTGGCGCGCACCAAGGCAAGGGATGTAGTGCAAGCGCATGCTCGGAGCATTCTAGCACATCCTAAATTAAACATGAAATTGGTCTTGCGAGATGTTACGGGCAGTGGAACTTAAGAAAACTCGCGCTTTCGAGAAAGTGGCTCAAAAAATACCCCTCAAATTTGAGGGTTACAACGGGACTAAATTTTGAACTACTGATTTTTCAGGAACGCTTGGGTACTCGTTAGAAAGCTTGAATCCTGGAGTGTGTTATATCGCGTTCAGCTTCCTAAATGAATGACTTTTAAGGAAGTTATGATCGTTTGAAGGTAAAAAAGTCGCGTTTTCAAAGAAATGGTTACACCAGCCCTTTATAATGGTTACAACGGGACTAAATTTTGAACTACTGATTTTGCAGGAACGTTTGGGTACTCGTTAGAAAGCTTGAATCCTGTAGTTGTGTTATATCGCGTTCAGCTTCCTAAATGAATGACTTTGAAGGAAGTTATGATCGTTTGAAAGCAAAAAAGTCGGTTTGCACCAGAGAAAGTCACAACGTCCAAAATTTTTAATAAATTAACTTTCGAAGAATTTATACCCATGATTGGCTAGAGAATAATTTGAATTTTTTAAATCAAATCACTATGGCGCTGAAGCTCGAACATGAAGGAAGTTATAGCCCTAGAAAGAGGAGTGTAAAAATTCTCTTGCAATCTAATTTTTTGGCTTATAACTTTTTCATTGTGAAGGGTTTGAGAAAAAATGGGCACTCCTTGAGAAGGATGAACCACGCTGATCCAACATCCGCCGATATCTTCCGGACTACCTGAAATTAAACAAAAAAAACTCCTAAACTTTTCACATTCCCGTTCGACGGCTCCTCACCTTGAGCAGATGCGCTCCACCGTCAGCAAGGCAAAAGGGCGCCAACCAGCAAATTTGAAATCACATCGCTACTTTTTTTTGTCGACCTGTTCACATCCGTTTCTTTTGTATGAATTCAGTGTGCTCTTTTCACTTTCCGACTTTCCTATCGCGACGGGCGGGCAAAAAATTTATTGATAGATGACTCATTTTTGGCGAAGTTTTCATTCAACGGCGGTCCACAATGTGTTAAGGCAACTGATTCAGTTTGGCGATCTCTTAGTTTAGTAACCCCTCGGGGTACCCTTCGGGTACCTTCGAGTGCATCTCATTATTCGGAAGCTGATTTGACTTGAGTAGCAATAAATATTAAGGTCAATCTGTCTTTACACAAGTGTAACGTACAAGGGGGGGGTCGTATCAAATCAACCATGAAGGGGGGGGTCGTAAAAAATTTTCGAAGAGTCACAACGATAGGGTTGACCCTGCCTCGGAGTCGTGGCGACGTCCTTGAAGGGTTTCAAAGGCATTCATTCCGAAGGGGGTGGAAACATGCACTAGCCCTAGTCAAGTGCATAGGAAATGTCACTGATCTGAAAACTTACCTTTGGAAGGCGTCGGAAGGGGGTCTAACGCCATCGAGGTCAAAGGGTCTAACGCCATCGTCCACTTCTGTCGTGATTGGCTGCGCAGACATTGCGGTCGTTTCGGGACCACCGGGACTATTTGAGGTCGATCCTTTGAAGCAATCGATGTGGTGATGCCGACTACGCTGGATTTCTACATTTTTTCCTTCTACCTTCTACCTTCAAAACATGAAACGATTTCATTATTGCGCCCCAATTGCAATTGCTGGCAAGTAGCCAGCTATTGCTAGCTACTTGCCAGCAATTGCAATTGGGGCGCATTTACTGCGGGCATGTTCAGACAACTCGTCCAACAAGCGTCTTCCTCCATTGCTAAGTGGCAGAGGGAGTCCCTGTCTAAGCCCCTGCCCGACGTTTTTTTTACTTTTTCTTTCATTATTGGTCAACTTTCACCCTACAACTTCATTATAGGTGGTTTTTACCCGCGAATTCGTTCTTGGATTGTTGCTTTAAAGGTGCGTGAGCACGCACAGAGATGATGAAAGGGATTGGTTTGGTCGCCTAATCCTGACCTTTACGCGATCTAACTTGAGATTCGATCCTCGGTATACGGTGAGTGCTAGCATGCGCTCTTCCAGCTTAGCCCTTATCATAGTTGTAAAAATCAACAGGCAGAAACTGATGTTGTCACTAAGTGATGTGCTGCTCAGAATTTATTCGTTGCTGCAAAATGATTTTTCCATTATTTACGGATTACTTAGCAGGATTTCCTCCTGATTGCGAATGCTGTTCTATTGTAGTGCCGACGTAGTTGTAACCGCTTCTGTTGTTGTTGTCTTTGATTCTGTGGTTGTGGCAGTTGCTGTGGAAACTATTTCTGCTGCCGTGGATTCCGGCGCACACTCCACTCCCGGTTGTGTAAAGTCCGGCGAACTTTTCAGCTTCATCCATACTTGCTTAATCCATTGCTGTGCCTTAAAGGCAGAGTTCACGTTGGAAAAGTAGTCCATCAGAAATCAATGTAGAGTAAGTCAGACGTGCAGGGATAAAAAAAGAGAAGTCGTCTAGAACTGAAGAAGTGGGGTCCCTTTTTTGCCTCTAGTTTCTGCATCGATGCGACTTGTGCTGGACGGTGCTGTCCTCTTTAGCGCTAATGCTCTCTCTGCTAAACGGCTAGAAGCTCACATCGGGGCGGGCGTGAGGGTGGGCGTGACCGGTGCGAACTCTGCGCATGCGGCCCTAGTAGGCCGATGTCAGACTTTGCGAATCGCGCGATTCGCTAGCGTCCGCGGTCGCGTTGCGGTACCAGCCAATTGAGTGATTCACTGGCCGCGACGCGACCGCAGACGCTAGCGAATCGCGCGATTCGCAAAGTCTGACATCGGCGGTAGGCTGCTGGGGTATACCCTTCGCTGCTACACGCACCCTCAGGGAGTCCGCCTGCCTTTTGATTAGGTAGATTTCCCATTTTCTGACCTACAACCTGTTCATGGAATCCTTCTCAAAAAACGCATTGCTGCGTGCAGTACACCTATTGCAATAGCCTAAAACTCTTTGTAGATTAAACGCAAAAAAAGTGGAGCCCTGAGAGGAACCACTTGCATCATACCTCGTCACAGTGAGTGTGCGAAATCGTGAAAATATAAAGGACATTGGTTTCTACTTGAGTAACGTTCAGATTACCGAATTGTCCGATACGCTGAGCCTCCTGCTCTATCTGAAATGAATTTTGACAACTCATACGCGTTGAACTGTTTAAAAGCAAGATTATTTTCGCTTACTTGTGCGTCTCGGAAGAGTTTCAGGTACTGCTGAGTCTTGTTTGCGTTGAAGATGAGTGTAGTTCCTATAAAGACTTGCACTGTTTGGAACTCTGTTGTGTTGTCGCCTCCCTTTGATGGTGATGTACTCGCTGGAATTCCGGTAGTGGTAGTAGTAGTTGTTGTTGTCTTTGGTTCCGTGGATGTGGCGGTTGTTGTGCTGCTTATTTCTGTGGTTGTTGTTGTTGTTGTTGTTGTTGTTGACTGCGGGTTCACGCATGTTACCAACGCTTTTTTGTAGTACTGTGATGTTTCCACGACGTGTTCCATCCATTGTTTCACCTAAAAAATCACTTCTTCTCAAAGTACGCATACTGTAAAAGGCAAAGATCTTTGTGTGGATTGCACGGGAAAGCGAAGTTCTGAAAGAGGCCATCTGCATTTACCTGTTCGCAGCCAGCTTGTGAAATGCGAGAGATCGTGAAGTTATAGGCGAAATTGCCGTCAACGTCTGCCGGGGCCAGATTACCGAATTGTCCGAAACTCTCAGCATACTTCTCGATCTGAAATAAATTTTCAGATCTCAGAAGCCGTGGGCCATTAGGAAGCGGAAATATGTCCACTCACATCGGTCCCTGGGAAGAGGCTCATGTAGTGCTGGACCGTACCAGAGTCATAGTCAACGGTAGTGAGTAGCGTGATATCCGCTGTTAGGGTCCCTGTTGTTTTGTTGCCTCCTGTTGGTGATGATGTGTTGTTGGAAGTGGTATTTGTTGATGGTGGTGGCACGGGTTGACAGGCCTTGAAATGGAGGTTGTTGTTCACACCTGAAGCGCTACCTTCGAGAACTCACCAGGGTAAACCCAATGATGGCGAGAGCGAAGAAGAGACGTTCCATGATTGAAATTTTTTGGAATGAGAACGGCAGGTCATCACGGCTTAAAAACCCGATAACATGGCTATATCCAATGCAAACACATCTTTTTACGGCCATTTTCCAGCTATATTCGCAGAATTTATCATTTCCAAATTGCTTTTTTATTTCGCCCGGTGTGATGTCGTCGAGCTTTGCAAGAAACGAGCAAAACAATCTTGGGCTTCGAATTGCTTTTGCACACTTTTGTTGTAACCATTGGCGACATTTATTCTATTATTTATTTTTATTACCAGTTTAGCTCCGCACACTACCGCGTGCATGACACGGAAGGGCTCCGTAAAGCTGGCCAGCCGGAGGAGCGTTAGGTTCTGCCGCTAAACAATACTTTCTTCGTGAAATGCGTTAGCTGGCCTTCTACAGAATGCCCATTTTTAACCAACCGTCTGATACGCGCGGTGGAGTGCGGAGCTACAGTGGTGTCTGTAAACAGCACCATGCATGATGCCAATGATTTTGCAATAGAAATACCCAATATCGTATATCGCTAAACATCCATCATACATTCTTAGGGATTTTGGGAATATAGCGGTCGAACGGTATTTTATGTTGATGACAACAACGCAATGAGATGATTCTGAAGTGAAATGCGTTATCTATACCAACGAAGAAGGCAAAGTTCCGGGATTTCTGGCGAAATTTGGTTTTTCCCGTCAAATATGCAGCAGTACGCAAGGGCAGACCATGTGCAGAAGTGGCGGGGCGTTTTGATAAGGTTTAGGCGCTAGGGCCTAGGTTGGAGCATTGGCGCCGCCCCAACCCCATTGAGCCCGCCCACCGTCCTACGTGATCTTCCAAACAACCACCTGGAACGCTAGATGTTAAGCCGTTGTTTGGAAAGTCGTAGGGGAATATTTAGCGGATTTCAACTGCGAAAATCAACATCAAAGCCTATGTTACGACCATTTTCGAGAACGCTGTCATCATCTAGTGAGAAGAAAAAATTTTAAGATAGGAAGAAAACAAAAAAAGCACTGAAAAATAGAAAAAATAGGGAAACTAGAAGAAAATCAGTTTTCATTGTTGGCCGTGTCGGTTGATGGCACAAAGCCAACAGTTGCTGTAGACATGTCCAAACGCGTAATTTTCCCAGCCCTGGTTCGTAAGCGACTAACGAAGAGGAATTTCTAATTTTGGAGTTCTTTGGAGGTATTTCCTGCTTCTTTCATTACCTTCGATCAACTTAGCACCCAACACTCCATACTCGAACAGGTGAGTCCCTCGTTTTATCCCGGAGTTTGCCTTTGAACGACCCAATATGTTCCCACGTGATTTATCGGCCCTTATCACCTGTACCCCACCGAACATGTTCCCGTCCACCTGTACATCACTTCTTGGAACCAACGCCCCACTGCTGCTGGGACACGCGCTATGAATATCATGAAATTGGCGTTTTGGCGCCTCTTATCAGATCTTATCAGTCGGTATCACTTTATAAACCCCACCAAATATGTTGCCGTCCCACCCCCTACACCATACTCAAAATACAGCGTTCCATGCCTGCAGCGAAGCGCGCTATGAATTTCGTGACAGACGGACGTACGTACAGACAGACACACACACCCACACAGACAGACATACTTAGCGAATTATATATAGTAGGATCATTTCCAAATTGCTTTTTTATTTCGCCGGTGTGATGTTCGTCGAGCTTTGCAAGAAACGAGCAAAACAACCTTGGGCTTCGAATGCTTTTGCACACTTTTGTTTTAACCATTGGTGACATTTATTTATTTATTTATTTATTTATTTATTTAATTATTACGCTCAGTAAGGAGTAGTGACCGCGCCAAAATGAGTATGATGCGTGGAAAAATCATGCAACAGTAAGCATAAGGCGTGAAAAAAACTTCTGAAAAATGTAAGGAGAAAAAGTCTTGAAATGAAATCGTTCAAAGCGCTACAATTGCTTCCTTCATATTAGCACAATGAATGAAAATGAAGGCAGTTGGACTCAATGTAATCAAACTGACGAAAAAGTGAGGCGAGGAAGAGAAAGAAAGACCTGATGAAACTTCAAATATGCCTTTCAAGCCAAGCGGTTCCGGGTTTGAACTTGAACGGTAGAAAAGGGAAGAGGCCCGAGTGTGGGGATAAGTTAATGAAGAAGAAATAAACTAGTTCGGCTCAGGCACTTTAGGGTCAATATCGGAAATCACAAAGGCTGTAACGCCTACTTGATGAACACATTGAAAAGGGGTTCATATGGCCACAGACCACGCATTGTACGGTGGTCGCTCGCGACACCACCTGCATCAGTCGGCTATGATGCCCACTCGCCACGTACGGGGTCATAGGAGCTTGCCGAAACTTCGAGACACGGGTATACCGACCACCCTCGTGGAATCGGCAAGCTAGGTGGGCACCACGAAGACGAACCCTCGACAAACGCGGAAAGCGCGCCATTGAGCCCTCTAACACTGTGTAGAAGTAGCGTAGCGCGTGCAGGTGAACAAGTGAAGGTGAACTCAACTTAAGAAAAGCGTAGCACTCGAATTTAGTTGAACTGCAGTTGTTGAGGAATGGCTTGATCGGTGTTGCGGGTGCCAGTGCATGCTGCAACACACATCAAGTTCCTCGTCTGCTCGTTCCTCTTTTGATCCATCCACTCTTTCCCCCCACCTCCGTTGGAATTTCATTGGGAAAAGTACATTTGGGTTTGTTTTTGCTATGTCATCAAAGGGCGGAAGTGGTGTAGTGGCAAGTGGCACGCTTACCACGCGAGCGGTCCGGGGATCAAATCCTGGGTCGTGAGTCGCCCGGGCCAACCAAGCCTTCCATCCCTCCGGGGTCGGTTAATTGGTACCAGACTTGTCTGGGAGGATAAAAACACTGACTTGTACATCGGCTGGCCCCCGCAAGTCATTGTATAGGCCACATCGCATTCAAACGCCACTACGAATGTACAAATGGAAGTAGAATGCGTGCCGCATCCCAAAAGGGATTGATCAACGGCAAATGCTTTATCCTTTTTTATCCTTTATGTCTTCAAAGTTGCCCGGAAAGGATCAAAGGCCTCGAAATCACGCAGTGCGCTGTCTGGGCGGGATTGCGGTCAGCCCCTGTAAAAGTCCCAGTGGGTTCCGTGCTTTGGATATGATAGGATACGGTAAAGAAATAGGAGAGAACAATGAGATTTCCGTAGGGGTATGACGCAAACTATGCTCATGCGTTGGCACGAAATTCGTTCTCACAAGGTTGATCAGTTTTCTCTCGTTTCCATTCATCACTGATGGACCGATCACTGAAATTTTTCATTTTTTTCTTTCTGTGCCCTCTCCTTCGACGTCAGGTCTCTCCTCCTGATACACACTATTTTCGCCGTTTCATTTTATGTACTTCTTCCTCCGTCTTCGAGTCACGCATTTCCCACTGGTTCATATTTTGATCTCAATATTTTATTTTTTTACATCCCATTTTTACATGCCCTTGAAGGGCACAAATACTCCCATCTTTCCAATCACGTGCTCCCGATGGCTCGAAGATTGGGAAAGAAGAGTAATGATCCTACTTACTATTATACATTTAAAGCACTTCGTCTTTCTCCTGTCGCCTGTCTGTCTTCTGTACGTCTGTCATGAAATTCCCTAGCTCCTAGAAATTCCTCTGGAGAGACCGCG